ATAAACTAAATCACAATTATAATCCTCCTAATTTTAATAAATTTCTAATTTGAACCAAAAGTATTACCTTTAAACATCTACTTCAAAACTTACTTTATTTTATTTAGAAAAATAATAATTATATTATTCAGTATGCTCTTCCAAGATAATTTTCCCTTAAAACTTTCAATTTTTTAATTTCTCAAAATAATATTTCTTTTAATTTTTATTGATGTCATCATCGTTAAACGAGATGCTATTCTCTTCACTTATAATACAATCAACTACATCAAAATCTATACATATCTCATCTTTTGTCTTAGTTTTCTATATATCACATTTTATAGCTTTTACTTTCCTTGAATGCTTTTTCCAAGAAAGATAGCTATGTTAAAACATTATAAGCCTCAAAAGTATTCATTTTTTTTCACCCATTGAAGTTTTTATATGTTTTTTTTAAAAGACTTTTGTACCACTCACTTTATCACTTGTCTCCTTGCTAGTTATGACCTATTTATAGGCTATGCTAAAACTATAATACTAATCTTCTCAATGAAAAAAGGAAGCCATTTTCCCCCACATTAAGTTTGGCTCAACTAAATATTTCTACTTTGCCTCCCTTAATAACCTATCTTCAAAGATCATTGATTTCTTACATTTTAAATTCAACCACCTAACCTTCTAGCAATAGTTTCTTTTGATTATTTGTTAACCCTCTTAAAATATAATTCCATTATTATACTCTGTATTGACGGTCAAACTCTAACTTAGAACTGCATTACAATATTTACAAGTGGATTAATTCCAACTTAATATTAAGAAATTTATATGTAATTTGGTGGGTCCAATTTTGTGAATAAATAACTATTTTGGTCATTTTTTAAAGTATGTGCTCATTATTCCATGATACTAAAACTACTGCAAAATCAATTATAGCTACTCCTAAGGCATTTCTTCTCCTAGTACATAATCACCATAAATGCTTCCATAGGCCATCCTTCCATAACTCACAAGTACATTAACTCATCTCCAGCTACACTCTTTTTCTTCTTAAGTATACATCATAGTAGTTTATCAACTCTTCACAAAATTGACCTTTTAAATTATTTTGGACTCCAACATAACGAGCATAATCACTAATCGCAATCATAATGTAAGCACCAATAATATATTAATGCCAATCATAATATCACTAGACCTATTTACTCCACTAATTACATTTCAGCTCCTTATCCACTATCATGTCTCTAGCATCAGCAACAAAAGCAATGGTGCTCTTCACAAGGATATCCTCATCTATAATTGAACATTAGAGAATTAGGTGCAAGAAAACATAAAGATAAAGATGATAAAAATCTATAAAATAAAAGCATCAAAAAGAAAATGCCAATTTTAATTTGGATGTCATTCTACTATATTTCTTCCCTTTTGTATGTGCTTCTCTAACTCTATTCTAGGATGCCATGGTTCCTTCCTCAAATGCCTCCATTGGTACTATCAACATTCCCCTGACGTGCAATGTTGGGAGCTTTTAATATCAATTCCTCCGATCTCCACATCCTATCGTGGCAAGTTCACAGTCAACAAGTCTATATTTGCTCAGATCAAGCAAGCACTTATGATGCCCTGCATAAGTCTCTGGTATACTTTTATTATTTAAAAAAATGGCTTAAAATCCCCCTTAGGAATCTCTTCTTTCTCATGCTTCAAATACATTAAATTAGCAGGTTCACCATGCATTTGCAAAATCATTCAAAGAAGCGCGCTTATGCATTTCATCCTTCTCTCAAGCTTTTATTTTCCGGGCTCCCTATACTTACTAGTTGGGTGAAATTTTTAATGTTTTCTAATAGGAAGTTGAAGCCTAATTGGCCTCATTTGAAGTCAATCGGATTAAAAAGTTTAAGTTTTCTTTCTACCATCGATCCCTGGCCAAGATTCATGAGTTATTAAGACATTTAAGTCTTGTGGGTTTATATTCTCAAGCGCTTGTTGACGACAAGAATAATCACACGACTTTTGAACCCCTATTAATCAATTATCCCATGCGTCTTTTCGAATAAGCATTAGTCTTTGATACTAAAAATAAACCTACACTGTCATAAATTTGATTTCTTCCTCCAACTTTTCAGTGCATTTGAATAACCTTCAAACCCTTCAGGGTTTTTTCTCTATTTTTAATAGAAAACTTAAATTCATCAAGCAACAACAGCCCCCTTGATATTTGGTTGTCATAAAAAAAAATTAAAAATACAGCAACAACAAAAAATAATAATAATAATAATAATCAATATTTGCAAAACAAATTCTAATGGTCACAATAAAAAGAACACTGGCCAATAAATGAAAGGATTGCATTAGTAATGATTGGGCATACTAAGGAACCAACCAATCAACACAAGCAAAATCAAGTCAACTCAGGTGCAAATGATAATCTTAAGTGTAGCTATATCAACAATCCTAGTGACTGTCACAATTCCGGAAAAAGTCAACCTTAAAATGCGAACCAAACAGTAAAGCACAGGCCTAAATTCTTAAAGGAGGTTTCAAGGTACATTCAAAGAGGAGGAATCCTAAATATCTAGAGCAAATGGTATAACCAAATGTTCAAATTCAACCTCCAAACTAGTTATTGGATGATCCTCCTTCAACTGATTAAATCTGTATTCAAAACTTGAAACTAGGATTAGACTCTCCTTTTGAACTGCAAGCCATATGACTGCCCTTGCTAGCGCCATGGAATTGGTCACTGCATTCATTAGTACTATTATTGCAGCTAATCCAACAAATATTGAAAAATCCCAGCTTCCTCCAATTTGAGAATAAAGATGAAAGTGTTTAACAGCAATTTCCTACTTCAAATGGGAGAATTAACATTATTACTTTAGCTAATGAGAGTTTTCTAATAATAATTACTAAAAAATGCAGGAATCAGGAGAAAATCTATCGCCACTCCTCTAAAAAATGATCCAAATGTGTACTTTTCTAATTTTGATGATCCATAAGATGCTTCATCCTTGATTTTGAGCTATTGTAAGTTTCTTTCTTTTAAAAAATTTATTACAACCACTCTTGTTACACTCATGTCATTATCTTGTTATAATATTTTGCATTGAGAAAAAAAGGCAAAAGATGGGAATGGCAATCTAAAGTATGGCACAAAACTATTTATAGATCAAAGACCCCAATGTACAAAAAATAAAGTTAATCCTGAGGCAAATATCATTCATGAATTACGTAACAACCATAACAGTTTTATTCTTAAATATACAAGTCAAAAAGTACGTAATAAATGAAAAATGCAAAAGGATCAGCAATGAAAAAAGAAATCAGATTGCAAAATGCAATATAAAATTACACCTACTATGATTAACCAGTAATAAAAATATAAACTCAGTATTAATTTCTGATATAACTGCAAATTCATGGAAATGGTGTCAAATTCATTTTTCTAAGCACCATAACTGTCAAAGAGTGGAATGACACCAAAGTCAAAAGAAAAGCTATACATTAACTCCCGATGAATCAGTTACCAAAATTAACTGATGAATCCGTCGACAAATTGATGTAATAAAATAGCGATTTCGAAAAATTTATCCTTTCTCCCGCTAACTAGTTGATCTAGATTTTATATCCAATATCAGCTATTCAAAGCAGAGATGCAAATTTATTCAATGATCCATGCAGCAAATGCAATTGGAAGTTAAAGAGAATAAATAGGATTAGCAAAACTCTTTCAACATAATCTAAGAACTTAGAAGATCCAAGGACTACTTTTCCATTCTATTTGAATTGTAAAAAAACAACATTATTAAAGCACTTTCCTAACGATGGCCTCTTCCCTGGACACCTGGTGAAGAGAAAAATCGCATTGGATAGGTGGAGCGCTATTAGCATACTACTACCGAGAAAGAATAGAAACAATCTGAAAAAATAACGAGGTAAATCATGGTAGCATTAATGAGCCATTGTTGCAGAAAACTTCCAGAAACAAGCTTAACTACAATCAAAGCCTCACTAGTAATCATTTCTGGCAAGCCTTAAACTTGGCAAAACAAAATTATGAGAACCTAGACTGATCAGCACGGCCAATCGTAGTTTTTCAGTCAATAAATTGGAAAACTTAAATCAACCAAAATAGTTTCGTGGTTTTATCCAAATAATTGGCTATTTCAGTACCACTATTTGACAATAAAGCCCAACAATTTACGCCTCCTGGTCTTCACAATGCTAATAAATTTAGTCCTTCACTCTTCTTCAATGCCTCACCCCTGGCTTTCCCATGAAACTGTACTCCCCACCAGTGCGGAGGCCACTAACACAGCCACTTCAGAAATGCTATTCCCAAGTTCCTCGCAGTCCCCTTTACCTCATCTAAGATAATCAGCCATTATCTTTTCCACATATCTCATCTTAAATGTTAATATCTATGCCCTTAATACATCTAGCCTAAACAAGTTCTCTAAAATATCCTTCTACAATTGCCTTAATTATTTTATATTCCTAAATTTCTTTTTGTCTAATCACATAGCCTACACTAGAAATCATCAAAAGAAGTTTCTATAAGATTATTGTTTTATGAAAAACAAGTAACTTCCAATCCTAAAAATGAGAATTATTAAAAGGGTTAATTATTAATTAAGAACATGCTTCTTTGCTGTAATAATCTAGTTGCTTCCCACTTTAAATGAAGTCTCCTAATATACAACAAATTCTTTGGACACTTCCAAACTTCTATATTGAGCCTACTAAAACAAAGGCTAGTTTATTCAACATCAAATATGGTTTCAACTTAGCAACATGCTACATAAGATTAACAACCCAGTGAATGTGCAAGAATATTGTATTAGCATCAGCAAGCAATTCTTCTTATTCTTTACAAATAATTTTTCAGATGCAGTGCCATCAAAGTTTTTATATTAAATTATCAGAAAATTGGCATTATTTAGACTACCTCTACAAATAGGATAATGAATATTACAAGCTTTGGTAATACCTGCCAGGTTCCCAGATTAAGATGACCATCAGTAACAGGAATCCTGGAGAGGAACAGCCTTAGGAAGCTGATAGTGCAATACCACTAAAAGTTTGCAAAAAACACTAAAATCTACATACGTGAGGGCACAGCCAAACATTGATGATTTAATATGTGCTGGCATATCATCAGGGCCTACAGAAAAGGTAATTCAGCAGAAGTCACGATTAAACCATCATTTATGAGAACCAAAAAAATAATATATGAGAATCAAAAAAGAAAAACCATTAGTACTTCTATTAACTTTTAGATACGAGCAATTTCGAACGTAAGAAAAAAAGAGATCAATAATCTACCAACTAAACAACAATAACTTCTAAACAGATCCAAATTTTGAGGACCATAATTAAATTGGTCGGCACACATCAAAAGTCATCCAATGCTGTTAGAAAAGAAAGACAATAAGTCATATGGAACATTAGTCTTAAGCAAAAGAAGCTAACATCTATCTAGTAAACTAAAACAAAATTATTAATGAATGACTGGCGTCCAGAGATGAAATAAATTGAGTGATTTTAAAAAAAAATTTAAAATGACTTTAAAAAAATATTAAATAAAAATTTATTTTGATTAAAATTTAAATTAAACTCAAGATTGCAATACTAAATGATTTTCAAGCAAAAATTAAGTAGTATTAAATGAGAACAAGCACGGTGCAAAAATATAAAATACAAAAAAAAAAAGTATAATTTTTTACATGGTTCAACTCAAACCAACCCCTGGGCCTATGTCCACAGAACCAAACTCCAGAGCAAGAAAACCACTAAAAGATACAATAAGTTGTAATGTATACGTACTATTAATAACCCCGCTGTGTTACAAAACTAATAATAAAATTAACATAAAGCCAAATGTCCCAAAAAAAAAATGTATAACTTCTGACAATATAAAGTTTTCCAAAATCTACGTCATGAAAAATTTAAAAATAAAAGTGATTTCACAACAATTCCAAATAAGCTACATCCAAAACACAAATTAAGTTCAAAATTTTATAAGCTCAGAATGATGATTTTCAAATCCTTAAATCATAATAATTTTAAGCAAGTTATAACAATAGTGATAATTTTACATTTCAAATCACAAAAAATCAAAGGAACTCAAGTTTCTAGTTACAAAATGTATGAACATAAATTTAAAAGATACACAATGTATGATTATAATTTTAAAAGATATGAAAATGCAATTCAAACTGAAATGAACTTTTTAAACAACTTACTATAACATGTTTTTTATATGAGATAAGTCAAATAACTCGAGTCTGTTGTTAGAAGGTGTGAACGATTTAGATATCTCGGGTCTGTTGTTCAAAGTGATGGTAATATAGATGGGGATGTTAATAGTAGAATTCAAATTGGTTGCTTGAAGTGGAGGAATGCTTCAGGCCATTTTGTGATAGAAAAGTACCGCTTAGACTGAAAGGAAAATTTTATAGGACGGTGGTGAAACCTGCAATGCTTTATGGCGCTAAATGTTGGCCTTTAAAAGAGAAGCACAATACTAAGTTAAGTGTTGCCGAGATGAGAATGATTAGGTGGATGAGTGGCTTTCACTTAGAGACAAAATGCGAAATGAATATATCCGTGATCGGGTTGATGTAGGTCTTGTGACGGACATAATAAGAAAAAATCTGTCTTAGATGGTTTGGTCAGATTAAGCGTCGACCATCTGATGATCTGACTAGGAGAGTAGATGTTCTATATTTGACTTGTGTTAAGAAAGGGAGAGGTAGACCTCGGAAGACTTGGGCTTATTATATAAAAAAAGATGTTAATTTATTAGAACTAAAAGAAAATATGACACTAAATAGGACGCAATGGAGAAAAAGGATTCATGTTGCCGACCCCACATAGTGAGATTAAGTTTTTGTTGTTGTTGTATAAGTCAAATAACATAAGAGCCTAAGAATAATATAAGATAATTCTTTTAATAACACAAAATAGTTTCAGATTTATGTACCATCATTAGAAATTAAGTTTAAAAAGTTTTGTAGCAAAAAAAATCATGAATCAAATGAAGAAGTCGTTGACAGGATCAACCAAACCCTTCTCTTCACCAAATAGCATTCAAATTTATGCCAATAGATCACCGAAATAAACTTGAAAAAATTACTTTGAGGAGAAAAAAAAAATTAAATATTTTTGGACCAATAAAAGGCTTAAAGCGAGAGGAAATTTCAAGTCAAGTGATCCAGCATAGTCACGGGAAAGTGCGGCGTGACCATGCTGTCAAGCATTTAAGCTTCCTAACTGACCTTTTTCACTTCATTTCCTCCGCATCCTTCAGTTGAACACCCTCATGGCAACCTCCCTAGCACCCAGGAACCCTTGCCAAATCCAACCAAAGTCGAGTAGATCCAACAAGGAACTTTAGAATTTAGTGAGTCTTCCTTTGAAAATCCAATTTTTCTCCAACCTCTTCGTAAATCTTGCACATTGTCCGATCACATTTCACTTTTTGCCAAAAATTCTTTATCTCATGTGAGGCACACTTCAATTTTCTTCGTCCAGCTAGTTTGAGCCGACATTTTCTTTAAATCATGGCTCTGAAAACTAAGGGAAAGGGGACCAGATTCATAAGTTATGTTGCCTCACAGAAGTATAAATACGTTCTGGTGCCGAAAAAATTGATTCCAGAACAAGTATTTCAAATGCCCAAGGAGATGATTGTTGCAGAAATTGAGACACGTGGGTGGAGTTTTTGTTACCTTGTCGACCCCGCAATTGTCTCCCTGATCCGCGAGTTCTACGCAAATGCAAAAGAATCTGTGGACAAGCAGGCTTTCGTGCGAGGGAAACTTGTTCCTTTTGACCCATCCACAATAAACAACCTCTTTAGTCTCTCTGATTTACCCAAGTGCAATTTTGAACGCTTTCTTGCTCTTGACTGTTAGGAGATTATTGCCTTCCTAACTAACAGCACCGGTCAGTGGAAGGTCCGTATTTGGGATGAGGGAGAGAATCTTGTGAATTTTTCCTTAACTTATTTAAATCTCATCTTACCTTTCTAACACTATTTAATTGTAGTCCGTCATCTTCCCACCACTAGTCTAAGTGATTTTACTAGGAATTGGGTGGTTCAAAATTTCTGTATCCAGACGGATAGGTCCATACACTACAAGAATTAAGCAAATTTGCGTCGGTCAAATCGGACGCAAATCAAAAGTTAATCTGACGACATTCGAGGATTATCGTCAAATTTGCGTCGAATTTTTTTCGTGGGTAATTCAATGGTCGGTAATATTAATTATGTCAATTTTGCATCAAAATATTTCAGCGCAAATAATTAGCACTTTTTTGCGTCGCCGCAATGAATTTCGCATCAAAAAATATCAGATGATAAAGAATATCGTAGGATTATTATCAAGTTTGTGGCAAATAATATCAATGAAAATATGTCAGATTTTTCGACGCAAAACGGACGTAAATATGAAGCAAAACTTAAAAATAGAAAAAAAAATTCAATACATCAATTACATTTCTACAACCTGCACACAACATTTGATCCAGTCATATCACAGATCAAAGCTCAAGTCTCATTAATGAAAAGGTAGATACTATCACAAATCTAAATTATCAAAAATTTACATCTATATCCTCAATATAAGTTCAAACATTTCAGAAATAAAAATAACATTAAAACTCCTCATCCTCCTCCTCGACTACAGTCACCGTTCTCTTGCGTCAGCGATCTTCCATAATCTTCGTCATGCGTACAATACTCCAATCAATTCTTTTTTGGCATTCACGCATATGACGAACCACCTTATTCATAACATCGACCTGCCAGGTAAGCTCTGCAGTATTTGGGTGTGACAGGTGTCGGTCAATTTTTTGATTTGAAAATAATTTTTTAAAATTTTATTTAAATATAAAAGGCATATATTTTGATTTTGAAAGTAGCGTGTTTTAAATTTCGAAAAATGAGACCAAATGGGTCCCATTCGTCCATTAGTTTGCATATTCATGCCCGATACCGTGAATACTACACATTTTTGAAAGATGAGTGTATATCCCGGTAAGAGACTCAATCATGCAAACTAAAAGATTTGTGACATCCGTTTGGTCTGTAAACTTTTTATATGTGACCTACAAGTTCCTTATCTAATACAGAGATTAAAGAGGGTTTATTTTACTTGGGTTTCAAGTTCCCTATAGAAGCAAGCCCCTATAGTTAATTATATCTCAAATGACTGGGGTCACTTGAGAAAACTCTCGATAATGATCAGAGGTACTAGTCTTTAAGATTTCAAGGTTTAGGTCTTTACTGTAGGACATGGAAAAACAAGTGGGAGTGGCTCAAATAGAAACCATTATTTTCAGGAGTCTAAAGAAAGGAAAAGGTAAGGGGTGTCACAGATCCTGAGGGGGAACCTCAGTGTCTTCCCAAACTATCCTAATGTGTGGCTGAGTTTCGGAGACTATGTTATTCAAATGTTCAATCCTGCCAATTTTATTATTAGGGACGTACACTTGCATAATAATTGATTATGCAAATAACCCGCAGAGATAGAAGAGTTTACGTCGTGCCAAACGACAACTTACGCGGCACAACATGGTTGTACAGGAGCCTAAAGAGAGTGTGAGGATTTACGTTGTATTGAGCGAGCTACCTCGAAGTCCTATAGGTTGTTATTTAGACTATGATGGTTTAGTTGGTGTAGACATGTTTTACTATCTTGAAGATGTCCTTCTACAAGTCCTCTTCGTGTTGCCCACAGCGTACACTTCAAGTTCCTCGTCGAAGTAAGTCTTAAAATCTGAGGTTCAAAAGGTTTTACCAGGTGTGTTATAAAGTTTTGGTTTTGTTGTCATTCAAGCATTATGAGGAGTTAAAGTTGATTAGAGCGACCCCGGTTAGGATCCCACGGTTCCCTCGTTCCGGTACCACTATTTTCTTTTGAATTTAATTAGTTTAAACGAGTTGTTAAACTTATTTAAACTAGGGAGATCTCGTTAACAATCGTGTGTTACCTCATCCGAAGGACTCCCGTAAATTCAAAAGTACGTGTTATATTTTTGTTTTGTTTTTTTATTTTTTTTTGTTTTGAAAATGTTGTTGAAATTTAAAAAAAACTATTTTGTTTTGAAAATGTTGTTGAATTTTTGAAAAAATTGTTTTGTTTTGAAAATGAAATCGCAACTAGGCATGCATGATACATTAAAGCAAGAGTAAATTACGGTGATAAAATGACCATAAATAAAATGTACATTGGTACCTAGCGTATATGCTGTTGTTGTCCTTACTGCGTGGTTTGCTCATATAATATAATTTACAGGGAATTTAAATAAATTTGCAGAAAAAAATGAGAAAACAATAATTCTAGTGTAAAAAATAGCAAAACGAATCGTGACAGCAGCTAAAAACTCCAAACAGGTGATCCTGAGGCTTCCTACAACTCCGGACAGCAGCTAGGAACTTCCAACGGTGATCCTAAGGCTTCCTACAACTCCGGGCGGAAACTAGCAAGCTCACACGGTGATCCTACGACCTCCCACGGCTCCGGATATCAACTAGCAAGCTCACACGGTGATCCTACGATCTCCTACGGTTCCGGGCAGCAACTAGCAAGCTTACACGGTGATCATACGACCTCCTACAGCTCCGGGCAGCAACTACAAAACTCTCAATGGTTCTCAATAAATCCAAGCAGCAGCTTACAAGTCCAAACAGCCAACTACAACACCAGACAACGCCTAATGAGCTCCAAACAGCTAACTACAGCACCAGACAGCACTTAATTAGCTATAAACAACACTTAATTAGCTCCAAGCAGCCATCTGCAGGACTAGACAACACTTTTAAGGCAAGACAACAGCTTACTACTCCCAACAGTCATTTAAATGTCCCAAGCAGAAATTATAAAACATCCTCGGAACAAATAACAGCATCGAGCATGGGCGACCCCCCGCCACCCGTGTTTTTAAAGGCTCCAAACCGCAAGTATGACAGTCCCCAACGAAGTGAATAAATTCTAAGCATGAAAAGATGTCCTTCAAGTTAAGAAACAGAGGTACTTCTTTTGTAAAATTAAGGATTTGGGTGGTATAGATGTAAGGTTTAAGTTTTGGACATGCAAAAAATATAAGAATTGTGTGGCGTGCATGTAAACTTTCCTCAAGTCTAAATTGCAAAACAACGCAAAGTTGACAACAACTTCCAATTCCAAAAATCATAAAGCAATGTAAAGCTAGCTGCATTGTTTCTCAAAATATCTGAGTCATAAAGCAAAAGAAAGAAAATTAATTGATGCTTCCCAAATAAGCATAAACTAATTATAACCCTTAACAATTAGATACAACTTGAAGCAGGTGCTCAATTAAATGTTCAATCTTTTCAAAGCAATTTTATGCATGTAATTGTGAGGTAAGAGTGCATTCAACAATTAAAAAATGAATCTAAAAATGAATCCAACAATTAAAAAATGAATCCAACGACTGAATGCTAGCTCAGCCGTAGACTCCAACTTCTGCAAACTATAGGTAGATTTGGTGTTTAAATTCATCCAGAATTTTCTATGTTAACGTTCTTTTCAACTTTGCATAAGATAATCATGAATAACAATTTTATATAACTTTTTACACAAAACAATTCCTCATTCATGATGATATAAAACTATGATGATGTAAAACAGTGAATAGTAGCTCACATAGCAAGAAACTCTCTAACTGTGATAATCACATTTTAATCCATCCTCTTTTCTTTCTAAGAAAAAGAGTCCACGTTCAAGATTCAAATGTAGGGAAGCTCATAAAAATAATCAAAGCAATTAGTACAAGGCTAATGTTGATGTGAGTTTAATCGGTATGAAGGAATATCTTAAACAACCAGCTGATTATTAGATTTGGGATAAGGCTTACCGATAAGTAGCACAAACCTAGGACTGCAGTAAAGGATGCCGGAAAAGCTTCTGTGTGAGGAGGCAAGTGTGAGGGCGCTTCGGTCGAGAATGGGGAGCAGAGCCGAGGAAGGTGAGCAAGAGTTTCAATCGGGGAAGAAAGTCGAGCGAGGGTTTCTAGAAAGGGAGTCTGATGGTTTCGGTGTTGAGAGAAAGGAGGCGGGATCGAGAGGGGAGCTCGGGAGAGGAAGAGGAGGAAGGCGAGCGGGAGAGAGGAGCTGTCGAGTGGGAGGAGCACGAGCGGGAGAGAAAAGCACAGATCACAGAGGGAGAGCGTGATCAAGCTAAGGAGTTGAATATGTCGGGCGAGGAAGTAGCGACCAAAGCTCGGTCGCGCGCGAGAAGGAAGGCAAGCGGGAGAGAGTAGCTGTCGAAAGCAGAGGGGAGGGAGAGCGAGAGCGGGATCAAGTGGAGGAGCGAGCGCGAGCGGAGAAGGGAGCAGGGGAGGTCGAATAGGAAGAAGGCGAGCGGGGAAGCTAAATTTCTTTCTACGTGAAGTAGCGGGAGTAGAGCTGGGGAGGAGCGGGAGCCAAATAATACGAATTTGAAAGACCTCGCCACTTGTATAAGTGAACTTTCAAAATATCCGTTACAGGTGATTCGGCGGGGAATTGAATAGTTTCCATGCGCAAAGAAGTTTTATTTGGCAAATGATATTCTTCAATTAAATTTAATTAATGTGAAATTAAATGGTTGATTTGAAATTTAAATTTTGAAATTTGAAATAACCGAGCCGAACCCAACACGAGTGAAACTCGAGTTGAACTTGGGTTGAGCCATGGCCCGCGCCCTGCTAATTAAAAAAATGCGCATCGATTTTTGTGCTAATTGCTCGCACGTGAAATCATAGTGACGGGCAAGTCAATTCATGTCAAAATCATGTGTGGTGCGATGTGTGCGCAAAATGCAACGTTAGTGAGAATTCGAGTCGCAAGAGGTTTACTTAGGGCTGCTCCTAATGATGTAAGAACTCAACTCGAGTCTCATATGTTAGTTCTAACCAACTCAGCAAAATGCCGAGGATTCGGGATCGCCCATGCGAGGCATGAGGGAGTGACGAGGTAGCTCAAATTTTCTAAATGGTGTGGGTCTGGATTCTAGTTCTCTAAGAGAGTCAAACAAGTAAAACCTAAGGCTAGACCCTAGGCTTTAAGAAGAGAAATAAAGACCTCACCCAAAAATGAGGTCAAGAACAAGCTCGTGCCATGCGCAGAAGCACGAGAGATCTCGACTTTCTTCTTCCCCGCCACCTGCGTCCATAGCTCAAACTTAGACTACGCAGTGGTAGACTGGCTAGCATTACTGCTGTCAATGCTCAGGATCTAGGAGATCAACTGCCTCTCTCGGAGCTGCTCGAACTCCTACATAATAAAAGTCAATTATTAATTATCATTTTAAACATTACGAGTCAAAAAAAAACGTGAAAAAATCAATTTTTTTTATCTGTTAGGCAGGAAGTCGAATCTGTGCGGGAGAAAATTCAAGTGTGGCATCTACAACAGGTGGGAAAGCAGCAACAGGTGTGGAAGAAGGCATGCCATTCTTCCTGCTCTTGTAAGTATTCGCTATATTGCAAAGAACATGCGGTTGCTAAGGTGGCTGATCGCCAGTACCACCTGTGGCCATCTGCAGCAGGACTAACAACACAAATAAAAGGAGGAATGTGCCAAATCTAAACAAGAAACATATCGTAACTACATCTAAAAGAAAAATGAAAAACAGGAAAGGTATGTCATAGGTAGAAAAAGCAAACAAAAAGTTCAATTTTTACATTTGCTAAGCGCACTAGTCCATGATATATTACAAAAAGTTCAATAATTGTTTGTAGTGTCAAATGAGTATATTACAACGATCACTTGGGGTCATTGTCATCGATGTTGATCCTTCTATAGCTAAGTGTCACTAGTCCATTGGTTGAAGGACCTCCACTTCATATTTGTTATTTCTTAGAATTCCATAACGATTATGATTGATCTGCTCCAAGAAGCATTAGAATATGTAATTTTGAGGAGAATATTCTTAACAAATTTTCTTTACCATGGTGATGAAAAAAGATTCCTTCTATATCACCATCATTTCGAACAAGGCCCGATGCATATAATTTCTGTCGTTTTACTTGATAATTGTCATGACTTGGTAGTCAATTCAAAAGGATGATCCTAAGTAATGGGCTTAAAGCTATGAAGATAGTAGTTTACTCATTTAAAGCCCGCTAATTGGATGCTAAGTCTAATATTAATGAGAATTGAAATCCCATTTCAATATTTAATTATCTTAAGTTTACTTTGAAAATTGAAATTGAGAGTGCCTAATAGTGAACAAGGTTTGATATCTAAGAATTGTCTTAATTGGCAGTAGAAAAGATGAACATAATTAATTGATAAAAAATTTTAAACACTTTAGGCCCTACTTTAACTCTGAGCATTAAAATCTCTAATGACTTTGGACTTACCCTTTGGGGTACCCATTCATATAATTGTCAAATGAAATGTTAAGCGACTAACTTCATTTCTTGGGATAGTTGTAATATCAAGGTTCACTGAGTAATAGGGTAATTTTAATTCAACTTTGGGATAATTAACGGAACAATATAATATGTTCAAAATGAACTCGAAACATTTCAAAAGATCTTTAATGTGATTTAGGGTCATTCCCCAAACACTTTGGAATCTCTTGGATATTTTGAAGGACAAATTGAACTTGTTATATTTTGTTCTAGAAAATCATCCACTAAGATCTTTTGAGACTCACTAAGTAGTGGTTTGAAGGTTCAGTAGCTACACCTTCATCTACTCTTGCGATTTATTTAAATTCTTATAAAATTATGTACATGTTGCAAAAGCTAATCTTTTAGCGGGAATGCCAGCCGAGAAGATTACAGGTACGTTTTTACAATGTTATTTAATTTCTACATAACGATTATGATTGATTTGTTCCAAGAAACATTAGAATATGTAATTTTGAGGAGAATATTCTTAACAAATTTTCTTTACCATGGTGATGAAAAAAGATTCCTTCTATATCACCATCATTTCTTTACCATGCATATATTCCTTGACTTCAACCAACCAACATGAATTCCACTAATAAGTAAATAAATACCTAACTCATAAAATTCAATTTATACATAGACATACCGCATTACCTATGCATTTAATTCATACATTTCACTCAATTCTTATGTACATACAAACATGACACCTAAAGTCCAATATTTATATGCATACCATTGAACTCTTATCCATATAAATACCTAGCTAACACCAAAACTTCAATTGATACCTACATACCATAGTATATATATAATATATGATGGCGTCGGTGGCTGGCTGCTCCACTAGGGCTTCGCCCGATGGCGATTCCCTGATATGATCTTTGGCTTTCCGAAAATTCTTCTCTCACTCGACAAGGATTTTTGCGTTCGTTTTCCGCGATCGTCGACAATGACGTAGGGATTCTGCGACTTTGTTTGCGCCAGCTTCTACGTCGAGCGTCGACCTCGTCGAGCTGCAAGTTCTGTGGCTCGTCTTTCTGCGTCGGCGTCAAGTTTTTGCATCTTTCCTTCATTTTCGACGCTTCTTTTGTTTGTGTCTACGTCAGTGCTTCTCTCCAACCTGATCTTTTGCTTTGTTTCTGCGTCTTTCTTTCTCTACAGCCCGACGCAAGTTTCTCGCTGCAAGTGACAGCTGGTTGTTCTGATGACACTTCCTTCTTCTTCTGTTGAACTAGCAAATGCTTCCTTTGCCCACGTGGTGGGAAACACTTAGGTGGAGTCCGCAGTGGTATTCCCCTCAAACTATAAGGAATGTCGCGATGGCACAGATGATTGTCCTTTTGTTAAGAATGGAAGTAGAAAAGGTGGGAAAGCAGCAATTTTTTTCTCTGAATGAGAAATTTCTACCCTGACAGAAAAATTTAAGTTTGCTCTCATTGGAAAATTTCAGTGGGGACGCACACCTATGGAGGTTATCAGAAAAAGCGTAGATGATCTTAAGCCAGTTGGCAAGGAAGTTAAAAGTGGGACTCACGGATGCGAGACATGTGTTGATTGAACTAACAGTGGCTGAAGACTACACCCAAATTTTTTCTAAGAAATATCTTAATGTCGCAGACAAATCAATGAAGTTACTCAAGTGGTCTCCTGATTTCGACCCAAATCATGAAACTCCCACTGTATTGGTATGGTTTAGTTTACCTAGTCTCAAGCGGCATTTTTTTCACCATCAGGTTATCTACTCTATTGGGTCATCCTAGGGTCATCCTAGGGTTCTTGGGAATTCTTTAAAGCTAGATCTGCCTACTTTCAACCTAACCAGACCCTCGGTGGCCAGAATACTTGTTGAAAGGGATATTACTCTATCGGATGTTACTGAAGTCTGGATGGGCACAACCCATAATGGATATTGGCAATAAATCGTCTTGGAACACAGACCCCCATATTGTACTCACTGTAAGATGTTTGGTTATATCCTTGATAAATGATACAAGCTCCATCCTAATTTGAAAACTAAGGTTCAAGTGAAAAAGGATAGGTATAACCCCACTGCTCTGGACATTGTCGTTCCACCTGTAGAGAATACCACCAGACATGTGGTGTATGTTGCCCTTGAGGACCCCGCTCATGACACTGTTGTTACTGTTACTGCGAGGGATGTGATGTTGGCACCTTCAAACCTCATAGAAAACAATGCTGATGGACTATTACCTACAAATGAAAGTGTTCAGACTGATAATCAGGAGAGTCTCGCAGCTCCACTTCTTCAAGAAGTATCCCGTGTAGAGGCAACTCATACTTCACATATGCTAGAACCTATTGTGGGTACTATGGTTTGTATTCCTTCTGCTTTAGCTCTACCACCCCATCAGACTAATTCTTCGGAAGAGAAATGACAGGTCTATTCCAAGAGGAAGAATAAGAATGGAGGCAGACTCCAGCTCGGGAACATATTGAATAATACATTGGTTACTTCTGACAATGGCAATCATCTTACCAACTTACTAGTTTGCTCCTTTCCTAGAACTAGAGGCAGAGGCAAGACAAAATTGGGTCGCTCTCTAGCCACCTCATACTATATATTTCGACACTGTTAGATTTTTTATTTATCTAATGTATTTTTCTGTTTTTTCTAATTTTGGAACTATTTGTGATTTTTTTAGTGGGCAGTGTGCCATGTTTGGGCCCTCCCACACTTTGTATCTGTATCTTCCTTTCTACTTAATATATTAGCCTCTTTGGGCTTTCAAATAAAAAAAAAGATATATATATATATATGTATATATATTTATATATTTATTTATATGTATATAACTCAAATCTTATGTATGTACAAACCTAGCACCTAAACTGTAATACCCTTGAACTCTTACGTATATACATAGCTAATACCAAAACATCAATTTATACATACCACAAAACATAGCCAAAACTAACATACATATCACTAAATTCTTATATATGTACAAAACCTAACACCCAAACTTCAATTTGTACATGCACAGCACATTACCTATGCCAAAAGGCCCATTTCCTTTCTCAAAAAATAAAATTAAATAGATTGGCACAAATAGAATTACCCTCCTCAATGTTTTCTGATTGGAGCGAAGTGGAAGGATGAGAAATACAATAGTTTTGGTAGTGTCTGTGAGATGCCACCGTCAATACCTTCCCAAATAGCTCCAATGGCGGTTATATCGCGATGGCTCGTTTGGGAAGACGATGGTTTTGAGTAAAACCGTGAGGGAGACGAAAAGGGGAGAGCAAGGGTTTCGGGCATAAGAGAAGAGCGCGAAGACAAGAAATGAAATTTAGGTGTACGGGTTGAGTAAAGTAGGTCATTTGCGTCGAATTTTTGTCGAATTTGGGTCATATTAGTTCAACGCTAACAGACACACTTTGCGCCAAATTAGGTCATTTGTGTCGCTTAGACGCAAATTCAATGCTAATCTGGTCGCAATTCTATACACACTTTTCATCGTTTTCATAATATTTTTTCCATCAAATGTTTAGACGCAAATTGAATGCAAAATCCGACACAAATATTGAAAAGTATTATTCGCCGCTACCAACCGCAAATCTGACGCTAATATTTGTGTAAGGTAAAATCTGACGAAAATATCGAACGCTAACTCCAGCTTCTCCTGTAGTGATAGATGAAGGGATCGTGCTCTCCCAGCCCATCATGCATATTGCCAGTGGCTAGACCACTATAGGTATAGGAGACCCATGTGGTTTCGGTCCAATGTTATCGAGAGAGTTGTTGAAGAATCATCATGACCACCATTTCTTCTGCTAGCTCTGCATGGGGTTCATTTCGTTAGAGGGGACAAAGCTCCTCAAGATGTCGCAAGGCATCACGATCATACCGTTCAAACTCCAAGATAATGAGGCATTTGGAGGATATGTCTTTGGAGATATACGACGACAGCATTCAGACTCAGTATTATGCAGGCCAGGACCAGCGGCAGCACAGATACCTGCATCATTGCATTCAGAAGGAGTAGAGTCGCTCTCATTTGTGACATTTCCAAATGTGCCACCCTTCGATCTTTATGTTCCAGAGGACGACGAAATAGAGGAGACCGAAAGTGATTAAGTGACTTTGGCATTTTTGTGTGCTTGCACCCTT